CGGCCATTCACGGCATTAATTGGCGGGCATTGTCAGTGCTGCAGCGTGGCAGTCACAGCGGTGGGACCCGTCACCTCATGACGTCGGCCTCTCTCTTCCCACGCGACAACACACGGCTGGCGGCACAGCGTTCTGGGCGCTGTACCGGACCAGTCGGAAGCGGGTCGTACCGATCCAACTCTAGGTAGCGTCGGCCCTCTTCAAGCTGACGTCTCCGGCAAATCGCGTCCCCGGTGAGCCTCATGAGTCACCACAGACCCCACTGGGTCATTGTTGCTCCCCTCCAGGTGACACTGGCGACCGCTGCAGAACATGTGCCAGTCCTGTATGAGACGAACCCATACCAGCCCGTCTGTGCGACTGCTTTCTGACGTGTGGCAGCCTTCTCTGAGTCTGCGCCAGCCCACTCTACGTCGCTGGCTGCTTCAGAGCCAACGCCAGCAGCCTCTAAGGGCGGGCCTTCACCACTGCCGTCGGCACTGATCCCCGCCCGCCGGCAGCAGAGACGGAACAGGCCGAGGCGATCTCGCCGTGTAGAAACATCGCTTTGGTCAGCAGGGACGGGACAGGCCGAGACGATCTCATGGCGTAGAAACATCGTGTTGGTCAGCAGGGACGGAACAGGCCGAGCCGATCTCGTGGCGTAGAGACATCGTGTTGTTCAGCAGAGGTGAGACAGACCGAGGAGATCTCGCCGCGTAAAAACATCGGGTTGGTCAGCAGAGACGGAACAGGCCGAGGCGATCTCGCCGCGTAGAAACATCGTGTTGGTCGGCAGAGACGGGACAGGCCGAGCCGATCTCGTGGCGTAGAGACATCGTGTTGTTCAGCAGAGATGAGACAGACCGAGGAGATCTCGCCGCGTAAAAACATCGGGTTGGTCAGCAGAGACGGGACAGGCCGAGGAGATCTCGCGGCGCAGAAATATCGCGATGGTCCTGCCGTCCGGCAAGGATCCGATCATGTCACCCTGCGGTCCCGTCCTTACGCCTCGGCAGACAAACTGCGCTTGCGTGGGTTCGACGACGTTGATCACCAGACACAGCCAGTTATAATATATATCCCCGACATTGATAAGCATTTCATGAGATGTGTGTCGTGTCGCTGTTCCGTCCCGCACAATGCTATAGCAGACATGGAGGTGGCTTCCCTTAACTGACCCGTTTGGATTTGCTGCTTCTTGAAAGTTAAGTTTTGGTGCTCGGGACGAAAATTTTGGCACGCATCGCAAAAATGTCTCCTTCTTCCGATTTTTTTGCGCCTAAAATATCCCGACAAATCTTATCTCTAGAATAGAAGTCCGATAAACCTAGTTGTATGAAAATTTTGACGCACTGTGGGCCATCGATTCACTTCCAGAATTCTCAGCCAGCATTTGTCCAGGCCGTATTTTGGCATCTACCTTGTGGAGGCAGATGCCTCCTCAGTTACCCAAAATGCGTACCCGCTCGAGGAATTTCGTGTCTCCAGTGAAAAGAGGACTGCAATGGACAACTAATCGTGAGAAGCTGGATAGCCTTATTTACCCAATTACGTACATGAGTCGAATAGTCAAAATTGTGCGCCAGCGGGAAACGGCTGTATATGTGCATTTAGCATAGTAGCAATGGCATTCAGTTATTTCCCACATATGCTACGTGAACTAAGAGCGGACAATAGCCTCCGTCTTTACCTATCTCCCCCGGCCACCAGGCTTGCTTTTTAGAAGAAGTTCTTGAAGTATACCCTGAGCATGGCCGCCCACTTTTTAGCGTTCCCACGCCTACGCACGGCACGGACGTCGTGGTTCCCCTGGAATTCGGTACCTCTCGAAAGAAAAAAAAAATTGCAGTGCCCCTGGAAATGGGCACCTGTTGAAAAGAAGGAGTGTGTGGTGCCAAAATGAGCTTGTGACGTCACCTCACCATGAGCTTTGGTACAAACGCAGTTGGCGTCAGCCGCCACCTATATTGGGGAGTTGTGCCATTCGCCGCCGGTGGCGCGCGCATCGACTCCGTGTGGGCGTTTGCTCCGCACGGCTATCCGAGTGTTTCCGAGTTGCCAAATTGGCCGGTATCTCCCGCGTCCGCTGTTATAATCGGATTCTGAATTGCTTGTTTGCGAACGCTTAAGATAGGCACCAGCTGTGATTGATGTTATAACTTTTTATGTTATAACTGTGAACTTTGATTTTGATGGCGGATTCGGGCAACGCTGGGCGTCGGAATATTCCGGAGAGGAGTCGCTGCGTGTGTGTGTGTGTGTGGTGTGTGTGTGTGTGTGTGTGTGTGTGTGTGTGTGTGTGTGTGTGCGTGTGTGTGTGTGTGTGTGTGCGTGTGTGTGCGTGTGTGTGTGGGTGTGGGTGTGGGTGTGGGTGTGGGTGTGGGTGTGTGTGGGTGTGGGTGTGTGTGTGTGTGTGTGTGTGTGTGTGTGTGTGGTGTGTGTGTGTGTGTGTGTGTGTGTGTGTGTGTGTGTGTGTGTGTGTGTGTGTGTGTGTGTGTGTGTGTGTGTGTGTGTGTGTGTGTGTGTGTGTGTGTGTGTGTGTGTGGGTGTGGGTGTGGGTGTGGTGTGCTGTCGGCGGTGCTCTGGCGGTATTGCGTATCTTGCTGTAGAGATCGCGATTGGAGTCTCTAAACTGACTCGGCCTTGAAATAGGAGGATCATGTCATATATCGTTGCACTGGGCTCCGGAGGACGCCCAGTTTCGGAAGCATCCCAAGCTGGAGAAGAACGTGACGCCACGTGGTCGACGCAGCCAGAATGCCTGTCAGTTGCAGCTCTTAACCTACACCAAGACCTCATGGGTGACTTAATGGGTTTGGAGCATGCCCTCCATCTCCCTCTGTGTCCACCCGCCCCCCTGTATGCACAGCATTGTTCGGTCACGAACAGAAGAACGAGCCAATGAAATTTCGACAGTCCCGGAGAGCTGTCATCACACCATACAATGAAGTATTTTCTTCAGCCCCAGTGGCTAGCACTTCCGGGAGCAGCCCAACAGCTGCGCAAAATCACCGCTTTTTGCAGCCTCCTGAAGCAGCCTAGAAGCAGCACAATTTGTGGGCACGTGCGGAATCCACTTTGAACCGCTGTCCTCTGCTCCTCTTCAAAAGATGAGACTTGAGGGTGAGAGCAAACCAAAATATTGAATACCATCAGTATAATCGTTGTGAATCACTGCAACGTTGTTTCGCCAGTACCTCCTGGATATTGAAGATCGCTGACTTATCATAATACAGACATAACGTTAACATAACTCAATGCATAGCTCATAGCATAACTCAACACAGCTTTAACTTATTACACCGAAAACCAAGAGGTGAAGGCCTTCTTTCTAATAAAAAGTCCAAAGTATGGCCACAGCCACAGCCTAAAATCGACGAAATCCGTGAAGAGGTGTGCCAAGGGGGGGGGGGGTAGGGTCGGCAAGGTTTATGCCCCCACCATGAAAACGCCAACTTCCATCCCCGCTGAACACGTAGTGAGGCCTAAGCTACTCGTCCGTACCGTCACGACACGCCGGGCACCGGCTGAACGCGTTGGGCGAGCAGCCGGCAGGTAACATCTGGGGACTAAGTTAAGAATGTTAAGAAGCAAAGCTTTCTGCAAGTCCTTGACATGGCTGTGTCGTATTGCGAGTGGGCGAGGGCCGCTGACAGGTGCTGACATTCTGCCGAGGAGGTCACGCCAGGCGCTCAGCCTAACTGGGAGGCACCGGCTGCGGCTGGCTGACACGTGCATGCCTCAGCATGTGCTGTAGATAGGATGGAAACTGTTATGACCGCGGTTGCGGAACGTCGATTAGTAGATACTTCCAACTTGCGACAGGAATTTTTAGGCTTCCCAAACCTTGATATCGTTCTATCTCGTATTCATTTTCGCTACGTCGTGAGTGGTGAGACGGAGTTTGTCGCATGGTAAAATGTTGACGTACATACTTTATTATTGCGCCTGTTTTGCAGTTTGTATTCGGAAGAAACACATGCATTCTACTTACTCCGTAAATTACCGCTACGTTTTGACATGCTTCCAGCTTCTTGCTGCTCATGACAGCGGTGGCACCGATCGAGCTTCTCTTTGGCTCAGGATTGGGCCCCGACAGCGTTGGCCCCAAGCGATTCTCTGTGACTCTGGATCACCGCCACCGGCCGATCGCAGTTGGTGCCAAAGATGTCTCACGCGACATGCCTGTGCCGCCAGTCGCCTGGACCCACAATCGCGCCCTTACAATTTGCTGCGTCCGTTTTACGTGACTTGAGTTCGCAGGGTTTGGCTATATTCGTTTTGACGTAGTGAGGAACTTTGTCCTGACATTTCATATTTTTTATCTTATAGAGCTGTTGTATCTCTTTTCTCTATGAGAGGAAAATGCTAGTGTTGGTTTTAGTTCGGGTTAGAATATACTTGATGCAGATAGACTCGCTTCTGTCTTACTGCTCTACATTATCACTCTCCCTACCATGTGTGACAGCACAAACTGCGCGGTTGTTCGTCAATTTTGAAACCTCCGCATACGTTTGCTGTTCACTGCCGATGATTGGTGGCTTCCATGCTTTACGTAGAGTGTGGTCCGACGTAAAAGTTTTTTCCCTATGAGATGCGGCAATTTACATCGCCGTATTCTTCTGATGTGATGTGCTCCCACCTCCGCCTGATTATACGGTTTGGCTGGATGTCGATTCAGAACGCAAATAACCATGGAACTGTTATTGCATGTTTCACGATAATACATACGGCGCATCAGCATCCAATACGGTTGATATTCTCATACAAAACACAAGACACGCTGCTAAATCAAATTGATCCCGTGATTAGACTCAGCCGAGTCTGCATTAATCTCGCCATCCATCCCACACGCACGTCGACGCATTCCCTCCAACCCGGCAGTAGCCGGAGAGCTCAGCAAAGAAAGACCTCGATTCTTCTCAGAAGGACTTAACACATTTGGCACGTCACGTCCATACCACCATCCCCGCTCCGCCCCAACCTCCCCCCCCCCCTCCCCCCGTCCTCCCCGTCCACATCACAGCCGGGTCCACGCGCCGCGTCTGCCGGCTGGTCAGAGGGCGGTGTGAGCGCGACCCTCCGCCGGCCGCTGTGCCAGACTGCCGCGCGCCCGGCCCAGCAGCTGCTGCGTGCGGCCCAGCTGCCGGCTAACGGCGCTCTCGACGGCCGCCTTGGCCCGCTCGGCGCGACCCAGCCGCGCCAGCGTCTGCTGCAGCGCGGCCCGCGTCGCCGCCAGCTGCGAGGGCACGGGGTCGGCGGCGGCGGCGTGCGCCGTCTCGCCCTCCGACGGCAGTGGGGTCAGCTCTGCGGGAGGGAGAGGGCGGGGTCAGGTGGGGCGAACAGTACGCGCCGGTCTGGCTAATGGATTGGCCTGATCAGGTACAGGAATAGTGGTATGAAAAGGCCCGAAATCCGAAAACAAATGAGCAGTGTGTTGTTGTATCTCCCCGGTGCTTCATAACGGTCGAAATTCAACAGCACATGACTTAAAACCGCCGGCTTTGTTATCACACCGAACACTCTTCCGATAGCCTTGTTTGTCAGTGTCAAAAAGTGACAGCACGTGATTTGGAGCCCGCCACGCGTACCAGCCCACCGAGCACTCCCTTTTGACATGGCCCTGATTGTAACTGGCAGCTCAGGACTGCAATGGGGCAAACATTCTAACATTCAAGCCTTACGCCGGCAAAAAGGCACCCAAGCCGAGTCAAAGCGCTGCAGTCACCAAACTGCGGATCCAACACGCGCATTGTGACCACAGGAGCCACAACACCGGAGGCTGCCCCGTCGCTGCCAGCTCTCAGCAGTCGGCACCGCGCTTTGGGGCGTACCTGCATCCGTTGGCTGAGACCGCACGGTGCCGGAGGTGTGGGACGAGCACTGCTGGCAGTCGGACTCGATGCCCAGGTCCGGGGACGAGTAGGCTGGCGGCCGGCCGCTGTCAAGGTGACGCGGGTCAGAGGACGCGGGTCAGAGACGGTGCGGGTCAGAGACGGCGCGGGTTGGAGACAGCGCGGGCCAGAGGCAGCGCGGATCAGGGGGGGGGGGGGGCGCGGGTCAGAGACGGCGCGGATCAGAGGGGAGCGGGTCGGCGGATCAGAGGGGAGGGGACGGCGTGGATCGGAGTCGGCGTGGGTCAGAGACAACGCGGGCCAGAGGGGCGCGGGTCAGGGGCGGCGCGGGTTAGAAAAGGCGCGTGTCAGAGACGGTGCGAGTCAGAGACGACGCGGATCAGAGGGGGCGCGGGTCAGAGACGGTGCGGGTCAGAGACGGCGCGGGTCGGAGACGGCGCGAAATCGCACGGGTCAGAGACAGCGCGGGTCAGAGGAGGCACGGTTAAGAGGCGGCACGGGTCAGAGGCGGAATGGGGCAGAGACAACGCGAACCAGAGGCGGCACGGGCCAGAGACAGTGCGAGTCAGGGACGGCGCGGGTCAGAGACAGCGCGGAGCGAAGAAGGCGCGGGTCGGAGACAGCGCGGAGCAAAGACGGCGCGGGTCAGAGACAGCGCGGAGCAAAGACAGCGCGGGTCAGAGACAGCGCGGGTCAGAGACAGCGCAGGGCAAAGGACGCGCGGATCAGAGACAGTGCGGGGCGAAGACAGCGCAGGTCAGAGACGGCGCAAGTCAGAGACAGCGCAGGGCAAGGGCAGCGCGGGTCAGAGACAGCACGGGGCAAAGAGAGCGCGGGTCAGAGACGGCGCCCAATCACAGCCGTCGCACAGGCGAGTAGCGCCCACGGCTGAACAGGCTTCGTCACTGATTTGTTGCTCCTTGTGGAGAGAACGTTAGAGATGCTGCTACATGCCCATCGGACGGTTGTGTGTGGCTCTCGAAAAGGATCTAACCGTGCATAAAGTCAGAAAAGTGGGCGGGCATGTCCTGACGATTTCCAGTATGGGTACTTTCATGCTTTAATGCAAAAGAAGTGTTTGGTTTCGTCGTGTCCAAACTGGTAAAATTCGACCAAAGTCCAGCACACTGCACGGAAGGCAATGGTATCATCTTACTAATAATGATTGGGCTTAACGTCTGAGAAAGACAGCCAAAGACTGCGACGTAGCTCATACGCAATGTGTATGTGTATAAGTGTACGTGACAACATACGTACACTTACGCATGTTGCGGAGAGCAAAAGCCCGCCTCCGTCCAAATCCCGCGTAAATCGCACTTTTGCACCAGAACGGAAACATCGCACGCGATAACGTCACACCGCGGTGTTTTGTGAGTGCCCCAACCCCACCTCCTCCGCCCAGCCAGCCTCGCCGGCTCCCGTCGGGCCTGACCTCTTCAGGAGCTCGTCGTGGGCGTCTGACTCGGAATGGCTGCTCTGCCGCGGGCCTCCGGGTGAGGCGGGAACCGCCGGCAGCTCGCAGCTTCTCGTGGACTCGGGACACGACTGGCCAGCATCTGAGATCACACAGACCCGTCAGCACTGTCACAGGCACGGCGGGCAGGCCCGGCCGACTGATGCAGGTCATCAATATGGCCAGCGGTTTCACACCAACATTTGATGGCCTGTTGTTGGTTTGAAACGCATGAGGGAGCACGATGCCTATTTGGCAAAAAAATGGCATTAGCTGAACGCAGAATAAGTAATAGAAAGAGGTGAATCGTCCGATTAAAAAAAAATCACAAAGGAGGCTGGAAAAAATGGGAAGTATAATCAGAAGCA